ATGAGTCCTGAGCAGCCTGCCTCCGCCATCAGCTCCCAACAGGCTGCGACTCCCCAAGCCTCCTCGGCAACTTCACCACTTCTGCCTGCGCTGGCCAGGACTCCCGCGTGCTGTGACAAAAACAGGAAAAAGACAACCAACAACAGGCACCAACAAACAACCCACATTCCTGTCTAACTAAACGTCCTATGGGAGGGAGGGCGGGAAAGTCAGGATCCCTGCACTTCCAAAGCTGACTGGTAAGTCCCCTCCCCTAACTGTCCTTATAACTGTCTTCCATCTTAGCAACTATGTATCCATTTATACCCCTCCCTTCCCTTACTCCTTCAAGACTCCTTATCCTAGCCGCAGTCATGTCCCCCCTTCCTTGTCAGTCCAGGGAGGTGTCTTGACTGCTGTCTAGATGTCTGTACCACCCACCCAATGCCCCCAGTTCCCCAATAACACACAGAGACCGTAATTACGTTGGGTAAGGGCATCGGCCACAGCTTTTATTAATTCATTTCCATGCCAGCAACATATTCATACTGTCAGCTGTTGGGGTGATTGCCCAACAGACAGGTCTATCCCCACAAACCATGAGTCCTGAGCAGCCTGCCTCCGCCATCAGCTCCCAACAGGCTGCGACTCCCCAAGCCTCCTCGGCAACTTCACCACTTCTGCCTGCGCTGGCCAGGACTCCCGCCACCGCGATGACGACTTCCCCTCGCGCCTCCTGCCGTCATCGCGCCCCCCGCCGACAGCGCAGCCTCAATCCCACCCTGCAAGCCCGTGTTCAGGATATCTAACCCTATTTCGTTTAAATGGACCCCATCCTTTCTCATCAAGTTCTGGTTCTCTCCTTCCAGCTCCACGTGTCGGATGACCACTCCTCCCAATCGCCGTACAAACTTCCCCACAGCAATGTTCAGCTTGCGCCGGCTCTTCTCCAAACCGCGAGAGTGCGGAAGCGCGCGCCAGCACGGCCTGGATACCACCTCCGACCAAACCAAGGTCATGTCTGGAAAGAGCGCCATGCACCTCGCCAAGTCGTGCCGAATCGCGTGGAGAAGGTCCACAGTCCGGGATACCCCTAAGTCGTTACCACCCGCGTGAACAACCGCCACCACCGGCCCCGACACAAACTTACGCAGGGCCACGAACTCTGGATAAATCTGCTGCCACTGGAGGCCCCTAATGCCCTTCCACCTGACTCTGGCCACGTCCACCGAAAACCCCAAATTCCGTCCGTAGGTCCGGCCTTCAGCTCGCCTAGCTGCCCAGTACACATAAGAATGCCCTATAATCCACACGTACCGGGGCCGACCACCTACAACGAGAAAAGGGGTTACAGCATATGAGGTCGGACATAAGACTTAAAACGCCCCGACCCCCATCTTCCAATCCGTTGAATTCCAGCGGCCGAGTACCCCAACATACTCGCATGGGTAGCCGCCCCAATCCGAAAGTAATGGGCCGAAAACCCGTGACCATCCATACCACTCGCAACCAACGCTTTCTTCAACATCGCCGAGAACTGATACCGGGTTAGAGGAGACCCGTCCCCGTGAGCTAACAAAGGGCCTCCCCGCTCCGGGCGTACCTCCAGAAAGGCGTGGAAGGCCCCAACCGGACAGACTTCGTCCCTCGTGGCCCCCAAACGAACCCAGGCCCCCCGGGCCGCCTGGTCCGTCTTAGATCGTCGCACAAAAATGTCGACGGTTGAAGGGGACCATCGCACATCCGACAATGCCAACGGCGAGGCCTTCCCCTTGCTCGGGGCCACCAACTCGCCGATACGAAAGGCACCAAAAAAGCAGACCGAGAAGGCCACGCGAAACAACTTCGACCTGAACTCCGAACCACAGACCGACGGTAGCACTAACATAATCCGCCGCAACATGTCAACCGAAATTGGACGACGACCATCCGGGCGACGCCTCAGCCGCCAACCCTTGACCACCCTCTGAATCCCATAGTCCTTAGTAACATCCTGCCAGCCCATAAAACGAAACAAAAACGACAGGGCAGCCAACGCCTTCTCCGCAGCAGCGCAGGACCTACCTCCCTTGGCCAAGTCATCCAGCATCACGAGAGTCCTCTCCGCACGACCCGAGGCCGTGGATACATCCCCATCCCGTGCTGCCGACAGCCACTGCCTCCACACTGCCCGGTATGCCTTCCATGAAGACTCCGCCAAGGAATCCGATACCAAGCCCATCAGACCTCGAAATCGAGCTTCCATAAGGAGTCTGGACACCGCAGACCGGTCCGCTGCGCCTCTGGCGCTGCCTCGCGAAACCGCTCCCACTGCAAGCGAGACAATGCATCAGCCACCACGTTCTGAACACCCGGGACATGCTGCGCCCGCACCCAAATATTAAACTTAAGACTAAGGAGCACGAGGTGACGGAGAAGCGCCAAAACAGGTGGAGACGAGGACAACGAACGGGCAATCACATGAACCACACTCATGTTGTCCGTGTGAAAGACCACCGTGTGATTTCTCAGATCCTCGCCCCACAGTTTCAGCGCGACCACTATCAGAAACAGTTCCAAAAAGGTCAAATTCTTCCTCAATAAGGAAGACCGCCAGGCCCGCGGCCACTCCCCCGCGCACCACTGACCCCGAAAATACGCTCCAAAACCAACGTACCCCGAGGCGTCCGTAAAGAGATCCAAAGCGGCGTTGGAGGTGGCCTCCCTCAACCAGCAAGAGTGCCCGTTGTAACTACGTAGGAAGGAGCTCCACACCGCCAGATCCGACCGGAGGCGCCTCGTGATCCGAATGTAATGGAAGGGTTCCTTCACCCCTACCGTGGACAAAGACAATCTGCGACCAAATGCCCGACCCATCGGTAACACTCGACATGCGAAAACCAAGTGCCCCAAAAGGCCCTGCATCTGCCGCAACTGAACCTTCTTGGAACCTTTGACCAAGTCCACGAGCCGAAGCAACCACTCCAGCTTCTCCTCAGGAAGCCGGAAAACCATGCTCTCAGTATCGATCTCGATACCCAAGAACGAAAGAACCAACACGGGCCGACCGTCTTTTGTTCGGAAACTGGCACACCGAACTCCGACGCTACCCGCCGGAACGCCTGAAGCAACGCCATACAATCCTGGGAACCCGACGGACCGACAAACAAAAAATCATCCAAGTAATGGGTCAAGGACCCCAAACCCGAAACTCGAGACGTGACCCACTCCAAAAAGGAAGAAAACAGTTCGAAATAAGAACAAGATATAGCGCAACCCATGGGCATGCACATATCATAATAGAAGCAACCGTTCGCGAAACACCCCAACAAATGAAAACAATCCGGATGAACCGGCAACAAACGAAAGGCCGATTCAATATCCGATTTTGCCAACAAAGCCCCACGACCGGCCCGCCGCAGGAGGAGCAAGGCCAAGTCGAAGGACGCATACCGCACCCGACACGCATCCCTGTCAATGTCATCGTTGACCGACGCCCCCGAAGGGTACGAGAGATGGTGAATCAACCGAAAAGTTCCCGGGTCTTTTTTGGGTACCAGACCCAACGGAGACACTCTCAAGTTGTGGAACGGGGGGAAATCAAAGGGACCGGCCATGCGGCCCCGTTGAATCTCCGCCTCCAGCTTTTCCTGCAATAAACCCTCCCTACCCCGCGTGGACCGAAGATTGTCAGCAAACCGGCCCTCATCCGACAGCACAAAGGGAATCCAAAAAACCCATTGTAAAACCGTCGAACAGAAGGCTTGCAGCGTCCCTCTTAGGATACCTGCTTAACCAGGGACGCATCTTTTCCACGCTCACCGGCGTCCTCGCCGCGAGGAACGTCGTCCCTACCAGAGCCCTTGGCGGCAGACGGTCTGCCCTTCTTGAAACAACAGAGAGCCGGGTGGGCTCCCCCACAATGGGCACACTCGTGCCGGAATCTACAAGAGCTAAACCACTTACAGTGGCTCTCGTTGAAGAGCCAACAAACTCCCTTCCGCTGACCTGCCGACGTCCCCATGGGGACGCCGGCAACCCCTGAAAAGGGGGAGGGTCTACACGGGGTCATCAGTAGCAACCACAGGCTGCCGTCCTGCACCCCGAAACCCATCCCCGGACACGCCGCCATCTTCTGGCGGAATTGCTGGTCGTATTTGAACCAGCATTGTCCCCCATACACTTTGTAAGCGCCCCAAATTAAATCCAAATAACCAAATAACGAAGGGGCCCTCTCTGGGAACCGACGCACCAGCACGCTCGCAAAGATATTAAATCCCTGCAGCCAGTTACCGAAAGTACGCGGGATAGACTTACCCTTCTCCCCCTCCAGTTGTTCGCCGCGACGCGGTCTGTCCACGGACTCCTTGTCCGGCGGAACGAGAGAAAGAAGATCCACATACTCACCCCGAATAATCTTTTCTTGCACCTCAGCCGGCACATGTAAACCTAAAGGGGCCAGCTCACACCCCGGGAGAAAGGAACCAACTCCCATCCCCTGACCCCTCAAACTATCCGTTCCACCTGCACCCTGAACCCCGAGACCACTGCCCCTGGCTTGACCCTCCACTAAAAGCCTCAGCAGGCGCAACACCTCACTATCCTGACCTGATCCCCCTGCTGAACCCCAGGCGCCAGCGCATGCCAACTCACCGAATGAGGGAAGGCGCAGGGGCCGCTCTCCATCAGCTTCACGCTCCTCCTCTGACTCCTCTGACTCACCGGAATCACCCTGGAGCCTCCCAGCTCCCAGGGGGGCTGTAACCGACACGGCCTCCCGACCGCCGGCATCCTGACAGCCCTGCAACCTCGGGGCTGCCGTCTGCTCCGCAGCACCCCGTGTACTGCTCGGACCTGGGGACTCCCACCGCCTTGGGGCTGCTGTCCGGGTCACAGCACCCCTATTTCCGGGTTCTTCAGCCGGCGCCGGCCATCCCCGAGCGCCCGGCCTCCTAATTTCAGCGCGGGCACCCACTTCCGGGTTTTGCCCGTCGCCGGCAGGTGATGTCATATCCGGCGCGCCGGCCGTGCGCGACCGGCGTCGTGACGTCACTTCCGGCCGCACCGGAAGAGAAGGTGGAGGGCTCCTCGACCTTCCCGCCATGCCGCCATCTTGGGAATGGCTGCCGGACGCCACCGCAGCCCTCACCTGGGACCGGACCGCTCGGGGGGGGGACCCAAGGCTCGGCTCCACGTTCCCAGCCACTCCAGTCCGCCGGCGCCTGCGGCCCTCTCGCTCACCTCGCACCGGGCTGGGAGACAGCCGCGACGGCGGCCTTGAACGCCTGGCCCGCCGCCCTTCTTCCACAGGCCTCGCCTCTTCACCCGGGACACCTTCCATGCCGGCCAACACCGCTGCCAACGAGCCTGCACCATGTGCAGCCCGGTAAGCCTGCAACAGGGCCACCAACGATTCCTGGGAAACATCCATCAGATAAGCAGGAATACAGGTAAGTGAACAACTGAATAATAATAGCTGGGTTTTTTTTGTTTGTTTTTTAGGGGTCAGCAAAGAAGGACAGATGAAAGTCAGGATCCCTGCACTTCCAAAGCTGACTGGTAAGTCCCCTCCCCTAACTGTCCTTATAACTGTCTTCCATCTTAGCAACTATGTATCCATTTATACCCCTCCCTTCCCTTACTCCTTCAAGACTCCTTATCCTAGCCGCAGTCATGTCCCCCCTTCCTTGTCAGTCCAGGGAGGTGTATTTATCGTTGTTCTTTGATTATCCATTTCTGTCTTGTAGGATTGAGACCCTGTGGTTGGGGGTTTTGAGAAATAGGGGGAAGTGGTTTTGAGAAATTAACAGAAAACTTGTCTGCGGAGACTGCTCTTGGCGTATAGAGACATTTATAACGGTTTAGAGAATTCAAAATATTTTATTTCAGTTTGTCTTTTTTGGGCCAAAACGAGAAATTCACTTAAAATTTAAGTTTTATAAAATGAGGCTTTATTTACTAAACCTTAAATTGTGATGAATTTATAGCTGAAATGCAAAAATTAGGAAACAGATGAATTGGAAAGTCGGCTAGGCACCTAGGCCATCTCAATGAAGTGGTATGCCTGTAGTGGGATGTTAGTTTTACCCCAGCAATGTAAAGCATTATTGTTTAGTAGATACAGCAATGCTTGCATTGCTGGGCTAAATATGACTTTAGTAGCTATCTTCCAGACAGCCACCAGAGGTTCTTCTGCTGTGATACTGAGTCAAACTCTGTGATCACAGCTAACCTCCATTTCATTGGAGGAGCACAGCGTTGACTGAGCATGTACGTTTCGTCCACAATGCTCTCTATGAGGAACATTGGATTGGACGTGTAGAAGTGTTGGCATGACATCGTGGGGACTTGATCTCGATTTTGGGGACTCGATCTTAGCGCTGAAAAAAAAAGGCAATTAATGCCCTTTGTTCCAGTTTTTTTTAATCTAGATATAGGGGAGACCCTGAATCTAAATAAAGAGAACCCTATATAGCTTTAGGAATATAGGTTAGACGTTTTTCCTGTTAATTAATATAATGCATGAGACCCATAATACCTGTTGGTGTATGGGAAGAGACCTTATGTGATGAGGAAGTCTTACATTGGTGGCCTTATTAGGACCCTGTGAAGTCTTTATCCTGCAGAGCTTTTATTCCTATAGTAGTTACATCTTTCATGTGTCTTTCATATATAACTATAAAACTACCTATAGATACACATAACTATAGAATATATAGTGTCCCCTTTCTTTTATGCACATTCCATACTATCTTTTAACCACTTCTTGAGTTTGGCTATATTCCACTGATTTGTTTCCCAATACTCATTTGCATAGTCTACAACTCTACATAGTTGTATTGCATTTTTTACTTGGCAACATTAAAAAAAAAAAAAGATATGATAAAAGTCTAGAATTAATTAAACACTGTGATATATGTTTTTAATTTCCAGCAATGCAACTAATATATAGCTCCCTATTAGATCCCCACCAGATCTGACAATATTATGCCACATAGATTTTGATCTCATAAGTTTAAACGTTGTTTAAAAAAACTGTACTCATACCTCTGTAATACACACTATAAATCATATGTATATCACCTCAAAGGCAAATACCTATAGAACTTAAGATGGTTAAAATAAACTCTATCACACACACATAACCTCAAAAAAGTAATTATAGCATACGGTGATCCATCCAGTCCTAATATAAATAATTTCTTTTGATTATCCCCTTTAAATAATGCTATAAGTTGCTACTGGTTCATACATGTTCTTTATGTAAAGTATATTGGTTGCATATTATACGACAGGTATTCATTTATTTCAGAGTATTTATCCCTGTGCCATTCCCACTACCAATATCTGTAAGGGTAATCATACATATTTGAATATTTTGTTGCATATTACTTTTAGGAGAATGTGGGCATAAAATACTTTTCATGATATTAATCTTAGAGGGTGACAGATTATAGATCGTTTAGAGTACTAATTAGGCCATTAGTAATGTCTAGTATTAGAGGCAGCTCTCATCAAACTAAGAGTTCTACGACTCAATACAAAACCACCTTTATTCATTATTGGTACTTTAAACAAAACAACTCCCTTTTAAACAGATAATTACAAAACAATCTGTCAACCCCATTAATCTCTACCCCGTTACGTAAAACCAGTAATTAAACAGGTGGGATAAAATGTTCTGGTTAATGTCCCCTTAACATCCCACCTACTAAATACATTAAAAAGCAAATCTCACCCAAAGGCCTCAGCAATCAAACCTTAAACTCCGAACATATACCCTTCTTTACTCATCTAAGCAATATTTAATTTCCCTTTCTTTTTTAGTCATATATGTAATGAGCTACAAATATGTTATACAATTGAAATGTTCAATTTGTTACTTTCTTTACAAAAAACAAAAACTTTGTCATCAAAATGTATGAAGCCTACGAAACGAAGAAGAAACCACACTCGGCATTATCAAAAATAACAAATGTTTTCAACCATCTGTACAATTATAAGATGTATAACAAAAGCATGTATTCTGTATTGGTGAAACTGCAAATAAGACGACGGCATACCAAAAATAAAGAATTTAAAAAATAAAAAGCAAATCTCTTTAGAATGAACATTATACAACTTTTGGTGTAATAACAAAATGTAAATTCAAATAAATAGGTAGCACGCTTTTTGAACAAATTGTGATACACAATCTCTTCCAATATATTGATATGCTATAAAGTATTCACAATCAGCCACTTCCTGCACATACGGCACAAAGCAGTTCTACAATACAGCAATACAGCACCCTTAAAACATATACCACATAATCACATACATTACACGCACTTACAGCATTCTTAAAATGTGAGATTTCCCATTTTTACAAATACTTCCAGAAATTGAATTTAAAAAAAAAAAAAAGTTATTCCCTGCGTTGTAGTTGATAATTTTCTTCATCATTTTTTCATTGTGTTGATTCTTCTTTGTGACATATCTGTTTTGGTCTGAGAGACTCATGGAAATTGTGATATAAGAGAAACTAAAGACTTCCTTTATCACCGGTAACCACAACTTCTCTGAGAACCACAGAACTTGTTTGTTTCAAGTGACAAAGCTTTGTGGAAAGAGGTCTGTCGTGGAAAATGTTTGAATTAAGCTTTTCTAAAAAAAGATTGAAAAATATTTATAGAAAAAAGGATGTGTGAAGATCCGAAACTTTCCATTAAGTGTGTACCTTTATATAAAAATAAGAACCAAATTTAGATGAGGTTTGAGGTGAACTATTTATAGATTAAAGGAAATTGCTGTGCTGTGACAAGCAGAATTTACTGTTGCTGTTAATTGTAGTAAAATATCAAATCATTTATTTACAGGTTTATTTTTATTAGTAAAAATCCACAACTGTGGTAGCACTTGTGAAAGAAAATATTGTTTAGATGTTTTTTCGGTGGTTACTAAGAGATCGGTCTCTAGCTGTCATAGTAATACAATGCTGACAAAGCATCATGGGATTTGCAGTTTTTCTTAAGCTGGTGGGCTACCATTTGGCGAACCTTGACGTTCTAGAATGATGGGAGAATTCACAGGTAATACAGAGAAGTGTTGTATTGAACTCTTTCAGATGTTAATGTGAGATCTCATCAGGCGAAAATATTATTTAAATCTAAAAGTCTGAGATAGTAATTGTATGCCTTTAACTCACACTGTCCACTTAGTTCAAGTTGGGTTTGGTTAAAATGCATGTGTGCAGAGCTATGTGCAGAGATCCAATGTAGACTTAACGTGGGTTGGCTGTCCAAGCTGGATATTTCCAGTTGGGTGCACTCAATGTCCTGACTTGAAGAACCATACAATAAAAAGGTCTACGAGCTGCATTGACTCTCTTGTCAGTTACCGAATATTGTCAGAATTCTCCCTTTTGACTGTCAAGTAACATAGAAACATAGAAACATAGAATGTGACGGCAGATAAGAACCATTCGGCCCATCTAGTCTGCCCAATTTTCTAAAAACTTTCATTAGTCCCTAGCCTTATCTTATAGTTAGGATAGCCTTATGCCTATCCCATGCATGCTTAAACTCCTTTACTGTGTTAACCTCTACCACTTCAGCTGGAAGGCTATTCCATGCATCCACTACCCTCTCAGTAAAGTAATACTTCCTGATATTATTTTTAAACCTTTGTCCCTCTAATTTAAGACTATGTCCTCTTGTTGTGGTAGTTTTTCTTCTTTTAAATATAGTCTCCTCCTTTACTGTGTTGATTCCCTTTATATATTTAAATGTTTCTATCATATCCCCTGTCTCGTCTTTCCTCCAAGCTATACATGTTAAGATCCTTTAACCTTTCCTGGTAAGTTTTATCCCGCAATCCATGAACCAGTTTAGTAGCCCTTCTCTGAACCTCTCTAAGGTATCAATATCCTTCTGAAGATACGGTCTCCAGTACTGTGTACAATACTCCAAGTGAGGTCTCACCAGTGTTCTGTACAATGGCATGAGCACTTCCCTCTTTCTACTGCTAATGCCTCTCCCTATACAACCAAGCATTCTGCTAGCATTTCCTGCTGCTCTATTACATTGTCTGCCTACCTTTAAGTCATCAGAAATAATCACCCCTAAATCCCTTTCCTCATATGTTGAGGTTAGGACTCTATCAAATATTCTGTACTCTGCCCTTGGGTTTTTACGTCCAAGATGCATTATCTTGCACTTATCCACATTAAATGTCAGTTGCCACAATTCTGACCATTTTTCTAGTTTACCTAAATCATTTGTCATTTGGCTTATCCCTCCTGGAACATCAACCCTGTTACATATCTTAGTATCATCAGCAAAAGACATACCTTACCATCAAGACCTTCTGCAATATCACTAATAAAAATATTAAAGAGAATGGGTCCAAGTACAGATCCCTGAGGTACCCCACTGGTGACAAGTCCAAGCTTCGAATATATTCCATTAACTACAACCCTCTGTTGCCTGTCACTCAGCCACTGCCTTACCCATTCAACAATATTGGAATCCAAACTTAAAGATTGCAGTTTATTGATAAGCCTTCTATGTGCAACAGTGTCAAAAGCCTTACTGAAATCTAGGTAAGCAATGTCTACTGCACCACCCTGATCTATAATTTTAGTTACCCAATCAAAAAAATCAATAAGATTAGTTTGGCATGATCTCCCTGAAGTAAACCCATGTTGTCTCTGATCTTGAAATCCATGTGTTTTTAGATGTTCATCAATCCTATCCTTTAACATGGTTTCCATCACTTTCCCCACTACTGAAGTAAGGCTTACTGGCCTATAGTTGCCCGACTCCTCCCTATTACCTTTCTTGTAAATGGGCACAACATTCGCTAACTTCCAATCTTCTGGGACTACTCCTGTTAACAATGATTGGTTAAATAAATCTGTTAATGGTTTTGCTAGTACACCACTAAGCTCTTTTAATAGCTTTGGGTGTATTCCATCAGGTCCCATTGACTTATTTGTCTTTACTTTTGACAGTTGAAATAGAACCTCTTCCTCTGTAAACTCACGTGTAATAAATGACTCATTTATCCTTTTTCTCAACTGAGGTCCCTTTCCTTCATTTTCTTCTGTAAATACAGAACAAAAATATTCATTGAGGCAGTCAGCCTGACCTTTATCCTCTTCTACATACCTTCCTTCTTTTGTTTTTAATCTAACTAATCCTTGTTTTACTTTTCTTTTCTCATTTATGTATCTAAAAAATGTTTTATCCCCCTTTTTTACTGACTGTGCTATTTTCATGCACTTGTATGTTTCCCCTAATATTCAACAGCCTCTGGCCCATTTGTAATAAATCATCCCAGACGATCCATGTGGCATGTCCCTGTTGGTTGGTAGCCATCGTGTAGGGCGTCCTTGTTGATTTTCTGACCTAGTTACATGCTACGCATCGTGAGGCACCCATAGTGTTTGCAAATGTACACTAAATTAAAAATATATATTTATTCTTAACTATTTGTATTTTACTGTCAGAAGATTTTTCTTTTTTCTTAAAGGGCTCTTGGTACTGATTGGATTCTCAATTCAAGACAGTTTCATCTGATGTTCCGTAACGCTGAAGCAAATGCCTTCCCCCTTGCTCTGTGATTTTGATTATAGAGTGAGTACGAGAAGGCTTCAAGTCTGAAGTCTTCAACAAACCTCATCTCATTTCTCTTTAAAAGTCGGTTGAAAAATCAGTCCATTATTTATATTTAATAATTACATGATGTCATAACATGTTCTCATCCCAGGCGATGATCTTACAAAATGTGCAGTTCTGAAGATATACAGACACTTAAATATCGCCAATGTGTAGGGAAGCTTTACTGTCTAATTCTGGTGTCAGTCACAAGTGTTCTGCGCAGTGATTTTATCTCTAAATTAGTAAATTAGCTGTGCTCAAACCCCTAGCAGTATAATTGCGTTCATTATATCATCATAATGCCCACAGCAATTTCAAGCCAATCTGAACTGTTGGTTTAGTTGTTACACTCATTAAATAGTTGAGATGAAATGATGCAAGGATGGCAATTACAATGTAAGGCCTTTTTTTGTAATCAGGGTGCGGTAATGATCAATGACTTTGCTCTATTGACCTGTCTATACCTGAATCTCTCTAGTATACATTCCTGAGGCTTGGAATAGAGTGATATTGGTACAGTAAAAATTGCAATAATGTGTTTTTATTTTTTCAGAAGCCAAGTGTTGCGCAGGGAAGTAAGCACAACCTGTATTGTTCAGTGTGGGATTGTGTATTTTGCCTGGAGCCCAATAAAATTTACATCACTCTATTAAAGGTAGAGACGCAAAGTAACCATTTACTTATAAGTAAACACAAAATAGGGAAATGGTCCATTAAAGGGGATTATAATGTTTACTGATCCTTTATGTTTAACAAAGCTGTTTGTAACGATCTGAAAAATAAAATAAATGTAGAAATTCACACTGCTATATGTGCCTCTATCCTGAAACTGGGTGCCTCCATCTTGTCCCCCTGTCTACGTATTATTGTCATAAGCTCTAACCTTTACTGCCATTAGGAGCAGAGAAGAAACAAAAACGATGTTACTGTCACAACCGGAATAGTATAGAAATAACTATGACACACAAAGACATGGGGGGGTACTCAATTTCATGGGCAGAATAAAAAAGATACCATGCTACATTAGTGAGTCCCACAGCAGCCTAATATTCCCACATACACAACATATCTCCATGCAGCTATCAGAATTTCTCTCCCCAGACTGACCCCACAGGTTCAGGCATTAAACATGCCATTCGGCCATCCCGTTCAAAATATATATAATTAACGCCCTAATATTGCAACTCCATTGGACATACTGTCCATTGAGTTTTCTCCTATATCCCATTTTCCAGTGTCATTCATGCTTTTCCAGTCTACCCCCGACTTTAGCCATGATATCCAAACATTCCAGTCTAACTTTTCAATCCAACGTCATTTTTCTCTACATAGGTAAAATCAATTAAATCTCCCGTTCAGTCTCAATCCTCACTCTAATACCATCCTGCCCCCCTCATTTCTCCATCTAGTAAACAAATATTCATTATAACCCTCAACCAGCATAATACATAACATATGCCCTTCCTTATTCTCTATGCTTCATTCATAAATGCAACAAGTGCCACTCCTATCACTCCAGGCATTAAACATGTGACTAAACCCTCATTTATCATATTTTAAATATTTTCATGCATTCTTGATGCAGAGTCTTGATCTGCAGAACTTTCGTCATTTTGCATTGCATATTTAAGTGTGCTGCTATGTCTTTTTACATAGCTCTTTTTTTAAAATTCATTTTTATTTATTGTGTTTTGAGATTATACATGCATTGAACCTCAAATAAAACAGAAGAAACAATAATAGTGCAATACAGTATGTACAATAAGTGCGTGATGTGTGATCTTGTGTGATTACACTCACATTTAATTGAACTATTTCAGAGCTCAGCTGTTTCAGCGCATGGAGTCTAAGGATATGTGTTGGTATGGGCGTTCCAAATGGCTCAAATGGAGTGCAGTACATAGAACGTATATAGGGATAGATACAAAAAGAATACTCCAATGGTGAAATAAGTATTTGTAAATGTGGAGTAAAATAAATAATGTAACATACTCACATTTTCCAGAGCAAGACTTGCTCTGGTATATATAGCGTTGGTGGTTTAATCCCCACCTAGGAATATGATGGTACCAGGAAGTGATGAAAATAAAAATTAAAAAGTGTAAATATAAATTAAAATACACTATTTATTAACCATATAAAAAAGTATTAAAATCTATGTAGATAAGCTTAAAGAGTCCCACTTAACGCGTTTCGCCTCTTCAAAGGCTTCTTCAGAAGTGTGATGTAGTCCTCACAAAGTTCAGTTTTTATAGACAGTCTATGATTGAAAAATTACTTCCTGGCACACCAGGATGTTATTTTTCTTGGAAAAGATCCCACATCACTCACTTATTTATGTTTTTTATTTTTTTATTTATAAACTTTTATTGTTTACATAAAATGAAATCACAGGAATACACAGAGGGGGTGATTTGCATTTCTCACAAACAAGCTGTATACATAATTGAAGGGGACCCACGCAGGGGTCACAGTGTATTATACATAATTACATAACAGTTGGAAATCGTTGTGGTTAACTGTCAAGTACCTACTAAGAGGGTTGTGAATTGCTCGAAAAAGTATGTGTATTGACCTGGGGGTATTGCCAAAACGATAAGTGATGTCCGGGTCTCTAGCGCTGGTGTCACTTTCAAATTCTGTGGTGGTAAACATACCACATAGTACATTATGAACCATGGACGTTGCACCCTCTAGTGGAGTGGTGTTACTTGTGTATTTGCCCTACTATTATGGCATCTGTACGGGTTTCACATTCCCTCCATGTTGAATTATATGAGCTTGGCGGGTTTGGAGTAACTCGCATTACAGTGGGTTATATTTGTTTTCAGTGGTTACCTGTTGTTTGGGGACAGTATGGGTAAGTTCAAGTTTATCGATATGGGTTGGTTGTGAACAAGGTTCCCGGTTAGGTGGTGGCTACTTGCTCGAGATCGGGGCAGCATGGGTCTAGCAGATACTACAGTGGGGGTATCTAGCTCATGGGCTAGCTGTAGGTCTCCCGAGTCAGGAGTCGATTAGTAGTGCGCGGGTGGTATCGGCTCATTGTGTTAAGCAGCTAGTAGTTACCTGTGTCTGCCTGTGAGTTAAGAGTCTGTGAGTTATATCACAAATAGAGAGAAAGGGAGGAGCAGGGGGGAGAGGAGAGGGTGAAAGGGAGGGGGGGGGATGATTGAAGGAATGGGAGAGGGGAAGTCCGAGAGGAGATCAAGAGGAGATCAAAGGGAGTATTTAGGCAGTTGGCATTCTAACTGTCTTGTGGACCGTCCAGGCCTGGGCTTTTCCCTATCTTAAGTTGTTTTATTGCAGATTGGACTTCTTCAGGGGAAATCGGGGCGTCTAAGGTGGTCCCTAAGTTCTTGGGGATTGACATCACGCACTTATTGTACATACTGTATTGCACTATTATTGTTTCTTCTGTTTTATTTGAGGTCCAATACGTGTATAATCTCTAAAGACCTGTGTACGTATTACGTTTTGTACATAATCCTTGGGCGTGGTTACTTTCTCTTTTTCTTTATACTCTATTATCCACAAGGTTTGGGAATCCTTGTACTAGTTCCTGCAGCCCAGTTGTACCCTGTACTACACTTTAGTGAGCGCCTATTATCTTTTTTCTTTTTTTTTTACTGAGACAGTGTGGCAGAGGAAAGGGATAAAACACATATTTTACCAGACAAAGGGGCTCACTCACTAAACAGAGAATTGTAGTAAATTGAAATCTGAATAGCAAAATTCAGACTAAAACAGCCCAGGTTTGGTTATAGCCAAGTTAGAGAATTTTTTCCTGAATTTTGCAATGTGGTTTCCAGTTCACTACAATTCACTATTTAGTGTATTCTTATTAAACAAAGTACTTAGTAGTAGAAAAGTACAATTTAATCAACAATATTATATGAATAAATGAAACACGAGCAAAGCGTTTAATATATTTTCCTTTACAGGTGTGGTAATCTGCAGTTACACAGGGTTAATGGATATACATTGAAGACTATTGCGTGATCTTTACACAGGCTTAAAGGCATGTAGTTTGGGTCTGAGCCAAGCCCTTACCAATTTTGGAGTGAACTTCCTGATGAGGAAACTGAGAATGTGTGTGTAAAAGCAGAAGTTGTGTGCAGAGCAAGCATTCACACCACAGGCCGAGAGAAACGAGGCCTCCTAGTATGAAATGAGAAAACATTGTAAGTGACGTGTACTTACTTTGAAAGATTAAAATAAACAATTCTTTCCACGTTCATTGAGAAAGATAATATTGTAAAAACAAGCTTATTTGTCTGACACAGGAAATGAGAAAAGTATTTTTTTAACAATATATACTTAGAAGTTTCAAGCCACCAGAAAGATGATAGGTATATAGATAGACAGACAGACAGACACAGACAGACAGATAGATAGACAGACAGACAGATGGATAGATAGACAGACAGACAGACTGACAGATAGATAGATAGATAAACAGACAGACGGATAGACAGACTGACAGACAGATAGATAGACAGACAGATAGATGGACAGACAGACGGATAGATAGACAGAAAGACACAGACAGATAGATAGACAGACAGGCAGTCAGACAGACAGACAGAGATAGATAGATAGATAGATAGACGGATAGACAGACAGACATGTAGATAAATATATAGATAGACAGATAGATAGACAGACAGACAGATAGATAGATAGATAGATAGATAGATAGATAGATAGATAGATAGACAGGCAGACAGAGGGATAGATAGACAGGCAGACAGGCAGACAGAGAGGCAGGCAGACACAGATAGATAGATAGATAGATAGATAGATAGACAGGCAGACAGAGAGGCAGATAGATAGATAAATAGATGGATAGACAGACAAATAGATAGATAGACAGACAGACAGACAGGAAGACAGACGGATAGATAGACATACAGGCAGGCAGACAGACAGGCAGACAGGCAGACAGACACAGATAGATAGATAGATAGATAGATAGATAGATAGATAGACAGACAGGCAGGCAGACAGACAGACAGACAGACAGAGATAGATAGATAGATAGATAGATAGATAGATAGATAGATAGATAGATAGATAGATAACCCCAGATATGAATTTTGGTAGCTGTTGTAGAGAGATGGGGTTGAGTTGAGATACACCGCTTTGAATTTGCAGAAAACAAAGTAAATCTTTATATGTCAACTCGGTTTGAGCCTGAAAGCCTTGAAATGTCTTAACAGAGCCAGCATGATAAAGGTCATTGGTAATATAGCAAAATCTTGTGGGGATATTCCCCAAGGGAGATCAGATTCTGAAATGGGGCATTGTAGGTAAAAAGTGAGTTTGAAGGGCACGTTTTATAGTTTGGAGCCAAAGTCTAAGGGAGATGAGAATAGCAGGACATGGAGGTAAGAATCTATCATGTCAAGGCCCTAGGAGCAAGATGAAGCTGAGTAACATGTCAGGAAGCATAACGTTACTTTCATTTGTCAACCCATATTTTTACCAAAACATGCCAATATAGTATTTTAGTGGGTTGGGCTATTAGTTCATATTATAATTCTAGTGTAATACTTTATAGATTTAAGGCAGTTATTAAACCAACATAGACAACAAATTTAAGGTCAGAGTGACTAAATATATATTTTTTATATTAAAAAATAACTGATTTATATAAGTAAATAATGTTTTCTGTGACTCTTATTAGATTGTGGGATTTGCCAATGATTACAAAATCATCTGGACACAGGACGAGGTCAGTGATTTGTAAATGTAATCCCAACTCTCTTGAGTTTACCCCTCGTGCAAATTCCTAATTTGATACAGTTTATTTTGGTCATTGCAAATCCTTTCAGTAGTTGTTATAGTGTAATTCTGGGAATCTGGCCAGACTGAATTTTGATACAATTTACATTTCATTGACGCTACATTTGGTCTGGGTAGATTGAAAGTTTTTACTTGTACAGGTTAAAATTACCTGCACTCCATTTAAATAAACTTGGAAGAGTTTGGTCCCACTTGTAATATAGAAGTCAGAATACTTTTATAAACCTAAGGAAAGGGCTCCAAGTTCTCTTTAAATAATGATGCAATAAAACCCATTGACCTTTAAGGAGGAAGATTGCTTGGCACAACATTTTCAGGGCTGTATCTTGTCAGAAGAATATGATACTTATTTTTAGTAAAATTGCAACACAATATAGAAGTGCACAACAATGCAATTAAAGAAAAACTATATGGTTAGGAAAGCAAACCTGTATTTCTAACACTATGGTGTCCCAGTACCTCATTATGGAGTACGTTCCATCCCCATTGGCTGATGAAACGGTTGAAAACCTTTTCTTCACTTACCTATTTCCAGCGACGAGGGTCCCTTGGCACAGGCTAGATCTCTTGCAACGTCACAAATTAACGGTTCCCCATAGGAAAGCATTTGCTCATATATGAGAGGGCACCATATAGGTCTATGGAGGATCCCCCGTTGACAGGTGACAGCTGGGGGGGAATGACAGATTTGATGCCCAGTGTCAATCAAGGCACAGGATAAATATCTTTTGACTGGGTTTGCATTTCAGTGAAATCCCAAAACAGTCAATGGGAGCATTTCATATATTTATATATTTACAAAATGCTAATTTTGGGTGTGGGGAGTGACAGTGCTGCTTTAACATCCGTTCAAAATAATAGACCTTAACAGCCACTCTTTATTAGGCACCTTAACATCCAATCAATATCAGAGACCATAACAACAGCCAGTCTATATCAGAGACCCTAACAGCCATTACTTAACAGTAATTCTTTCAGAGTTGATTCAGACAATGTAATTTCAAGTTTATTCAATCAAGTCATGCAAAGTGCATCAGACATTCAAAATGGCTAACTTTATTAAACAGGGTTATTCACTAAATTGAGAATTCTTGTTAGTGATGTATGCTATTTGATTATTACATTTAAAATTTACTTTATAGTTTCACTTTAGTGATTAACCAAACCAGTGTTCTGGAAAGTGTCAATTTGAGAGTTAAAAAATGTATTAAAGGAGTCTAATTTGATACAGTTTATTTTGGTCATTGCAAATCCAAGAGATAACCCCTGTGTTTATTCCACCAGATTTTAGAGCCTTCACATTTATGTCTTACTAACTAAGCATCCTGTGTGATTATTATACGTGTTTTGTGTCTTGCTACTCAAAAATAGTGGTGTAAGAGAGCGCCAGACAACAGAATATGTTTTTTGTGCATAAAGGGGTGCAAATAATAGACTTTGACATTCTTGTTGTTACAAATTTCAATCCATCCAAATCTGTGCCAATCGGGTGATCGTCTGAATTCCAAATTTCCGATCCTCCACATAGACTAATCACAAAACAAACAACTCGTAAAATTGGTTAACGTGTTGGTTTAATTAGGGATTTGGAGTTCTGCCCGTGGCTACAAAAAAGAGATGACTTATGGGAAAAAAAGATGATTGGCTAGGAACAGCCACTAAATGTTGATTTTATTCACAGATTAAGTGAGAAGTGCTCAAAAGAGTGAAAAAATAAATATAGCTGTATAAAATATTAAATTAATATATGTATAAATACATACATATAGATTTATTACTGCCTCTTTTTCCCTCTATTGGTTACATTTTCTCACTTGATCTCTAAACTATATGGCAGGAAAATGCACCTATCAGTATATTGCAAAATATATACATAATATTATAATATTTATATTATATATATATTTTGCAGTGCACTGGTTGGCCCATCTTTGTGCCTTTTTTATTTGTATGATATTTTTTCCTAAATCAGTGGACGAACCTCTGACCACCACAAGCGCAACATTTTTCTGTCCCAAAATTTTGTTTTTCCCCCACTGTTCACAAGTCTAGCAACTATTATCAACATAAGTGAAACAATTCAAAAAAATTCAAAAAACATTTTATTCCCACTATTTTGCCTATTATAATTTGTACAAAACTAGGGAAGCTACAGAACAATACTCAAAATAATTTGCCCTGATTTAGAAAATTGATCATATGCCTAAGAGCTATTTTAGCATTTATAGGTCTGATATTACAAGGAACACATTAATGTGTAAAGGCTAGACTTTTTTGCCAAGACCAAATAAGAACTCAACAGTTATTACAGCCAGGTAAAGTTTGTGTAATAGTGATGAGAGTTAAAGTCCACATTTTCTTCAGAACAGGCAAATAAACACATATTCTGCCTGACTGAGATTCAAGGGAGTTACATTCCATGGCATATTGAAGGCAGGTATACACTAAACTTAAATACACTTAATTTTTTACGAACTAGAAATCCTCAAATCAAGCCCCAAACAGGGGCAACACAGTCACCAGAATAACCACAGATGAATGTAGTTGCTCTAGTGTCCACTGCCTGTCCCTGGGGGCTTTTTATTGTAAACACTGCCTTTTCAGAGACAATGTGTTCCTTTAACCATAGACAAATCCTAACCCTACACTAGCCCTACTGCTGCAACAAGCCAGTGATACCTGGCTCTCCCTAGTTTAAGATGGATTTAAACCCCTGTTGGCACTAAATCTAAAAGACGTAACAGTACATAGTACTGCAGATTAACACATGCCGCAACCATACACCCTCACTAAAAGTATAAAAGTAGCTCCTGCAATTTTCATTTACATAAAAAGCTCCCAGCAGAGGCATAACTAGAAACCACCAGGTCCCAGAGCGAAAATTGCCCTGAGGTCCCCCCATGTGTCTCCACCCCCCCCACCAGCTACTCCATGTGTCTCATTCCCCCCCCCCTGCCGGCCCCTCCACAGGTCTCATCCCCTCGCCAGCCCCTCCATGTGTCTCATTCCCCCCGCCATGTGTCTCATTCCCCCTGCCAGCCCCTCCATGTGTCTCATTCCCCCGCCAGCCCCTCCACGTGTCTCATCCCCCCCTGCAAGCCCCTCCATGTGTCTCATTCCCTCCTGCCAGCCCCTCCACGTGTCTCATCCTCCCCATGTGTCTCATTCCCTCCCGCCAGCCCCTCCACTTGTCTTATTCCTCCCCCTAGTTCCTCCACATGTCTCACTCACCCTAGCCCCTCCATGTGTTCTATTCTCCTCCCTCGCCCCTCCAAGTGTCTCTCCAACCTCCCATGTTTCTCTCCCACCCCTTTGTGAGTCTCTTCCTCCCCCCAAATATCTCTCCCACCACCAACCACTCCCATGTGTCTCTCCCATCCCCCCATGTGTCTCACCCACCCCTCAGGATCCCATTGTGCAAGGCAGACAAATCTCTCTGTCTGCCTGTAGATAGTTTTGATTTCAGAAGGTATACAAAAACTCTCATCACAGCATATGTTACTACGTTATGGAGTTCCACTTACTATACATAACAGGATGTTTTGACAATGAAGACTATAAATCAATGTAATGTTTTATCTAGGAACCGTACAGAATATACAAACAAAAATGGAAAAGTACTGCAGTTGATTGTTGATGCATTTGCCCTGTATTCACAGTGATTGCTGAAAAGAAAGAAATGAAAAAAAGCTAATCTAGAATGTTTAGTCATAGAGCAAGTATACTATCCCACCTCTCAAGGCCAGACCATGTTACGCACTGATCGAGGGTGATGTAATCTCAGCAGAAAGAACTGTTACATTGAAATTGCAGTGCTGCTTCCCACCCATCAGCATTCTCCCACTCACAACTCTGATAGACACATCTATGTTGTGTGTATTTTACATAAACACATCCAGAGGAGGGATGGCAACTCTAAACTTGGATAACAAGTACAAATAAATGTCATTTTTTTAGGTAAAAAAAAAAACCCTCACAAATCTCTGTGTTCATTATCCTACTCACAGTGCACAGGCAAAATATGGGTTTGACAAGTAGCGGCTGTTGGCGTCTTAGGTGCAACTTCCAGGGTCACAGTGGTTATGGTTGTGACCTGGCCCTGTAGTTTTTCCTGTCAGGGGAAGCTCAGTCCAGGAGTGTGGCCCTCTTGCAAAATTGCCATTTAATACACTGCCTCTTGGCCAATATATTAAATAATAATAATATACTGCCTTTTGGCCAATATATTAATTAATAATAATATACTGCCTCTTGGCCAATTTATTAATTAATAATAATATACTGCCTTTTGGCCAATATATTAAATAATAAGATTCTTCTACGGATAGTGTGCAAACTACTTTAAATGCTCACTCCGCTGTTTTAGCACTCATAAATTAATCAAAGCGCTTCGGCCAGGTTACCGTGGCAATGCTAATAGAGTGTTCTCCAGTCTGCACCAGCTGGAGGTGCAGTCTACATGCTTCCACACAGTACCCTCAGGGATACTATGGACCCATAGTTATATTATTAAATAAGTAGGAAAATGTACGGTGAATGCTTCCCATACACAACCTCACACAGCTAATACCCCACATATAGTCCTAAAGTCAACTTTAAAATCATTATACTCTCCAGTTTCACACACATCCCACTTATCCAGACCCTATACATGCATATCACACTCAGCCAGCCACACAGATTACACTTTGCCAACTGCCCCCCACATACTCTTGGGGAGGGAGCCCTTCATCGGGTCTTGCATTTGGGCCCTGTAGTTTCTAGTTATGCCCCTGTCTAGTGTTGCTTGGGGCATCAGTCCAATTATGCTTGGCTAGCAAAGGCCTTGCACAATTCCTACCTTATTCCCACAGTAGTCTGCCAACAGACATGGCAATGCACCTCCACTTACTTTTAATTAGCACAAGAATGGTGCTTTGAGGCTGTAACCCACAAACCCTATATGCTAGTAGCCAGGGGAGCAAATGATCCCCTGCTAGTTTTCGAGTTAGCACTCTTGTGTGTTCAGAGAGGAATATCGTAAATAGCGTATCTGGCAGGCACACTCAGAGCCAGGGCATTATACACTATTGGTATTCGAGTGGCTTTAAACTTCAGTCTTCACTGGAAACAAAATATACAAAAACTGAAGAGAAAAAAAAACCGTGGGTGAGCTTTTAAAGGCTTACTTATTCAGACTGAGTCATCTGTGCTCAGACATAAATAATCTTAATTTCTAGCCAAGGACTAAAGGTTAGATACCCTGGTAACTAGTGATATTGCGGTGTATTTGTGCCCTTTCAAGAACCAAACCAATGAGTTCCTAAAGTATGAAATGGATAAGAAAATATATATTTTTAAATATTTATAATACATTGCAGTAGATCTTTTTTTTTTTTTAGGGGATCATTGGGAGATGAATACACTGTTTTAATTCCAGCTTCAATTCACATGCATGGCAATTTCTCTTTTTGACCTTAAAAGATTATTTCAAGCATGATGACCACTTCAGTGATTTGAAGTGGCCATGGTGCGTGGACTCTGTATGTGCAGCGTTTAGCTTTGAAATGCTGGACATATGAAATTTAACCCCTCTGTTGCCGGAGGTTTAACTTAGTGGTCAGCTAACTCTCTTAGCCAATGAATGACGACAGTCATGGCTACAGAACCACCAGAGAGCATCAGAGCCAGAGGTGACCCAGGGGAACTGGGCCACGGTATTCCGAGCATTATAAACATTACAGCGGGCTACAGTAGTTATGATGCTTGGAGTAATCCTTTCAAAAATATTATGTATAGTTGTGAAGCCTACATATATTAAATTGCCTCAATAAAGATTTTTCGTTACTTTGGGAGCACCAGAACTATTTATTATGAGTGCAGCATTTGTTTACACTTTGGCAACTTCTTTTTATAACATATACATTTTGTTAAACTTAATTAGACGGCACTTGTGGCCATATTGAACATGTATGAGTTGCTACCGGTAGATCATGGTTTGTTTTTTTCAAATCTTTATTTAATTTTGCAGAAAACAAAATGGAGGCATAGGTTTTCGATACAAACAAGGTCGAACAGCACAATTAAAAATGTTAGAACAGCTTAGAGTAATATCATGAATGGGGCATCCTAGGAACTGAACCCTGGTGATTTTACTGCACTTATTGATATAGCTCTCTGCTGCTGATAGGGTTAATAAAACAGTCAAGTCTGGCCTTTTGCTGTTTTCTCTATAAATAAGCTGTTGCTCTAACTGAGACCTCACTACAAAGGAAATTTTGACTTTACTTCAGGTTTCCTGTTTAGTCATGTCATGTGGATGCAACAGAAAAAAATACTCAAATTTGCTACCACCTTCCTCTTTCTGAACTTTATTTAGAAAACAAGAGTATAGCAGATGCAATATGACGCTTATATTTCCATCCGTCTGAACTTGACAAATTGAGTTCACTTTCAAAATTGCTCTCTCTTTATGTATAAATATACATTACACCAAGCTATATTTAATCGCATATTTTACAATGAGGGAACTTTAATCTTTAGTTCTTGTTTATTTCAAGTTCTGGGACTTTTTTTGGCCATAGATATTTTAAAGGCAATTTACTTGTCTTGACAATGAATAAAGAATTAAAATTGTTGTTGCTCTGAATGGGTAACTGACACTTCCCATGGTTTTTAATATTATGTTGACTTATTCCTTATATTTATTAAATTGTGGAGTGTGAAGAATAAAATTGAATATAGAAATCCTCTCTGCTCTGCCTCGGAACTGATCGCCTCCATCTTCCTGTCAATCATTGTTATAAGCGCTGCCCTTTGCACCTGTCAGTCAACATACGGCAAACATGGAAACAAAAAGCTCAGCAAATAATGGGGGAGATTTGTCAAGATGCGTTGTTCTAAAAAAGTGGCACAGCAATGTTAAAGCAGACGAGTCACCAATGGAACGTGCCTGCTGCTTTAATTGGTTTACATTGTGATTGCCTGGCGCAAAAGCCCCCGAGGGATCAGGATCTGGATGATAACACTCATTTCAGATGGTGAACGTTTCCCATACTGTCACTACCCATGACAGTATATATGCAGTATAGACATCATATATTCACAAACGTACTGATACTGTTAATAATTTAAGTCAAGAGGATCATACCATAACATGTTAATCACTTACAGCAGAAGGGAGATACCAGTGAGTTCTTATACAATGTATGTATATTTGTTTATAGAGTACTAATACTTAGCGCTTTACGAGTTATATCAGGGGTAGGCAACCTTCGGAACGCCAGATGTTGAGAATTACATCTCCCATAATGCTCTCAGGGGAGATGTAGTCCCAAAGGTTGCCCACCTCTGAGTTCCATTATGTTACAGAGGAAGTAGAGTAAGTGCAGTGGCTATATAGTGTAAGTATTTATATTTTATTTGAATTCTTATTACAGTTGTATTTAGTAGTGATTATGCATAGTGGTTATGGTGCCAGCAGTGGCTCCATCTCAGGTAAGTAGTCAAAGTACAGTGACTACTTTAGTACAGATGACAACTTACCTACATCCCCTGGGTGCTTATTATTATTATTTTATTATTTATATAGCGCCAGCAAATTCCGTAGCGCTGTACAATGGGTATACCTTGAATGCTTTTCTCCTGCAGTAAAAGCCTGATCTCGCTATAAAGCAGAGTGGATGCAGGACTCTGTGGACTGCCTAAGAGCGCTCAGCTTACGCACTCAGACAGTGAGCGCAGTCCTGTATGGCCTTGCTTTAAGGGACACTATAGTCATAACAACTACAGCTTATTGTATTTGTTCTGGTGAGTCTTAGAATCATTACCTTCAGACTTTTTATAGTAAACACTATCTTTTCAGAGAAAATGCAGTGTTTGCTTTACAGCCTAGTGATAACTCCACTGGCCACTCCTCAGATGGCTGCTAGGGTTGCTTCCTGGGGCAGTGCTGCACTGTGTGACCGACATTCAGTGTCTCCACCCTCTGCATGCAGACACTGAACTTTCCTCATATAGATACATTGATTCAATGCATCTCTTTGAGGAGATTCTGATTGGTCAGAGCTGTGTTTGGCTTGTGCTGGCTCTGCCCCGATCTGTCTCCTTAAGAAACTCAGCCAATCCAATGCTTTCCCATGTGAAAGCATTGTGATTGGCTTTGAGCAATACTTCTGATGATGTCAGCCAAGCAGGCAGATCAGGGGCAGAGCCAGCAGCAGCAGACTGGAATAAACGTAAGACATTACTATATTTAGAGAAGGAGAGGGGGATAGATGGTGTTTTCAACACTATAGGGTCAGGAATATATGTTTGTGTTCCTGACCCTATAGTGTTCCTTTAATTTTGTAGAGCTAACTGAATTTATTACAATAGAGCAGGTACAGTAAGCACAGTCATTGCACAGTTTATAAGTGTATATTTCAGTAGAGACGCTTTTGACTGGACTATTTTGTGGGTTCAGAGCGCATGCGCACTCTATGTTCCGGTAAGGGGAGGGAAGGGGAGAAGAAGGGGATAAAAAAAAAAATACATGGAGGGGATAGGGAGGAAGGAGGGCTGTAGGGAAGGGACAGACAAGACTCCCCTCGCAGGGTCTGCCAGCAATGGAGAATCACATTACGTCTTTTGGCAGCATGCAGTGCGCGCTGACAACAAATGTATTTTATGCACAGAATTTAGAGGACTGTCAATGTCATGTTTGCTGGTGGTGAAACTTGCCTTCAGCACAATGATGCTAATTACTCTGGATGTGCAGTGTTTTAAGCTGAAACACTGCCTATCCAGACTACTACCACCATGACCACTTTAAAAATCAGAAGTTGTTATGGTGGTTGTAGTACCCTTTAACAAATATGTATTTGTAAGGTGTGAAAAATAATATCAAATGCAAAAATCCACACCTCCTAATCCTGCATCTGGTCGCCCCCATTTTAGCTCCTTGTTGATCCTTGATATAAACTCTGTCCTTTGCATCTGCCAGTCAGCACAGATAAAGCAGGCACATAAGAGGAGGAATTAAATAATGTTTATATCTCTCCTTTTCACTTGCAATGTTTGCTCTGGTTTCCCTTGTCTGCACTGAATTGTTACGTAATTTACAAATCTTTAATATCAAAATAAAAGAAAACAGTGCGTCTGATGAAAAAAAAGTTAATACAAGTTATAGCTGATTTCAATATTTTATTCAGTGGTTCAAATTCCAATAAATTAACAGTTCTTCTTTAATATCTTGTTGTGCAGACATTTTCCCGATATCTGTATGTCCTGCAGATAAATCTAGGAGCTTAACAGAGAAGATTCTGTGCATCAAGGGAGAGAAATGATACTGTATTCCTTAAACGTCAGATGTGTTGGTGGATTGTGGTTTGAAAGACTGCTTTTCATAGACCACTGACAGTTTCACTGGCCCAGGCTTCAGAAGCCACCCACTACGGATCCATGAGCTGTGAAAACTACTTTGGATATATTGTTTCCTGTGGAAAAAAACATGGCAGATAATTTCACTGTTTCAGAGATCCTCAGGATTTTTATGAGTGGAAAATGTGATCTGTATAATAGAATAACCGTGTGATATGTGGTAACAAATGACAGTTAAACTAGTAGATAGCAATGAAATATAGACAGACCCAGTTATTTATTTTCCCTCTCAATTCCAATTATTTTTCGGAATAAAGATATGACCAAAGAGTATGAGTATCTGCCAACAACACCAGATGTACAGTTCAGCTGTTTCTTAAAAACAATACAAAAACACTATGCATTACAAGTCAAAATACATCTTAAGGGACACTCTATGGACTATAACCACTACAGCTCACTGTAATGAACCTATGGGTATCATGCTCTTTTTTTTGTAGCTTTGACAAAAACAGAGTTCTTCACGGCACCATAGTCACCTCCCACCCCCTTAAACTGCAACTAAATTGCCAAAATAAATCTTCAGCATTATCAGCTATTCTGTTTGCCCCGGATGTCAGCAGTGATAAGATGAGAATTTGGGAAGTGACTTAGCCTTGTACTCTTACACTTCATACTGTGTGATGTCCTTTCTTCATATCAGTATGAGTGGAGAGTGTAGTCCTTTTAAGGGAAATTGGACATATGTTGATTCAGTTCATAAAAGCATTATAAAAGAAAAGGTTTGCAGTAAATAATAAATTTTATACTATATATAACAATATAGAATTTTGTACAATTACATAAACCTGTGCCATTCACATCACACTATCTGTCATTATAGCACATTTTTTATTGTGAGACGTTTTCCAACGTAGGACTCTTTAACTCCGGTCCTGTTTGTAGCTCATTGGGAGGCTCATACAGTTGATGTTCCAACATAGGACCTCTCTCCATTACTAGATGCAATTACAGCTAGAGAAGGCTTGACCGGTGTATAGTCGCCATATGGGCAGTCGGACTCCAGGACAACCCTCCCACATACCTAACCCAATAATGCACTGACACTCGGGTATATGGGAAAATTTGTCCACAGCTTTATTAAACAATCTGAATAATAATAACCATATATTCAATATAACATAATAATAGTAATAATTTAACAAATAAACATGGGTCATTGCCCCCCATACTCCACCCTTGCATCCGATTCCTTCTGTTAATATAAAAGGCAATGACCCCCATATAAATAACACATATATATAACATATACCACCATTATTCCAACATACCAACTTAAAGTGCCAACATAAATTTAACCATGGCAGGGGTATACCCGGATACCCCTACCCCACCAGGTTCTGAGCCACCGACAGGACTCGAAACCTATCAACCACCGATGACCACCGTTTGTTTTCCATCACGTTCATCCTAGGGAGCCTATTCCTTCTCCTTCAGCTCCCTATCCCGCCACAAGCTCAGACCTTGACCCCTTAAGCCGTCTAAGCTCCGCCACCCCGAAGAAATAGCGCCTTGGTTATTCCGTCTTGCCAACCCAGGTTCAGCAGGTCCCATCCCACTGCCGAAAGATGAATGCCATCTGAGCGGTAGTACCCCGGCAACCCGCCTTCCAACTCGCTGTGCCGCACTACCACACCCCCCCCCCCAACTTCCTTACGAAGCTTGCCATCAAGCTATTCACTTTCTTTCTACACTTGTCGATGGCCACCGGGTCCCTTGCGTGCCGCCACCGCCTCCTCGGGATAATCTCTGACCATACTAACATTACTCCCGGAAGCAGGTCCCTCAGTTTGTTGAGGTCCTGCTTCATCCACTTCACCAACCTCCGCTGCGGTGTTAGGCCCAAGTCATTGCCCCCCGCATGTAGCACCAGCAGGTCCGGCCTCCGCCCGCCTGCCACCATCCGGAACACTTCCCGGCAAACTTCCCCCAAGCAAAAACCCCTATACCCAAACCATTGCACCACCAACTGGTCCCTGGAAAAGCCCAGCTGCTGGCCCTGAGCTCGAGCTGCGGCTCTCCTTTCGGCCCAGAAAACAAAGGAATGGCCCACGATCCATGCAACATAGCCTGGGGAAGAGAGAAAACACAGATTGTAACAACATCCCCCTATTGCCCTCCGGGAACCCCCAAAAAAAGGCCCGACATATCATTCTAACAATCCCAACCGCACGTACGACCGGAACCGTACTGACTCCCATCTTCCAATTCGTTTAACTATGTCATCCCCCAGACCCAACCTTGCGGCTTCCGTGGCCGCCCCGATGCGAAAGGAATGTGTACCAAAGCTATCCACCCGTAACCCCATTTTTTCCAGGCCCCACCGAAAAACCTTAATAAATTGAAATCGGGAGAGGGAAGACCCGTCTGCGTGCACCAGGAGGGATCCCCCAACCTTCGGCCTCCGGACCAAATACTCTGCCACCGAGGCTACCGGGCACAGAACCGAGCCCGGCAGGGCCTGAAGTGTCACATCACGGCCCACCCTCCGTGAATCCATCTTAGATTCGGCCAGGTGAACCACCAATGTCCCCCCTTGCAGCCGAACCCCCGAGACCTGTAAGCCCCCGGCCGCTACCCGATTGGCACTCACCAACTCGCTAATCCGGAAAGCCCCGAAGAAAGCCAACGGAAACGCTGTCCGAAACAGGGATACCTCAAACTCATCTAAGCAAATTCCAGGCAGCCCGCTAACCAGATCCCCCAACACCCACACCGACACCGGGCGCCTAGTGTCTGGAAACCTGCACCCCTTCCGATAACCCTTAAGAGCCTGCCTGATGACGAAGGACTTAGTAACGTCTTCCTTCCCATGCAGCTTAAACCAGAAAGCCATCGCCGCCATGGACCTGTCAACCACTGCCAGGGGAGGCCCCCTTTGCCAGCAATCGACAGGTGTACCACAGAAACGCGTCCCGGAGCGATTCCCCTTCCGGCACGCAATCCGGCCCAGCCCAAGAACGTTCCCACGAACCCCACACCTTACTGTAAGCGGCCCATGTGGCCGGTGCCAGAGAAGCCTTCACAAGTCCCCCAAGCAGGACGCTCCCAGCCGCCAAATTTCGTCCGGGCACACCTGGCCCGTTTCCTGCGCCTCTGGTGCCACCGTCCGGAATCGGGACCACTGAAAACGAGAGAGAGCGTCAGCCACTTCGTTCAAGTACCCGGGCACATGGTGCACGCGAAAGACAACATTGCGGGACATGCACATTAGGACGAAGTGCCGCAGCAACCGGACCACCGGTTTTGACGCCGCTGACTGATTATTCACTGCGTGCACTACCGCTATATTGTCAGAGAAAAAGACCACCTTCCTGTCCCGCAGCCCTTCCCCCCATAGAGCCATCGCAACCACCAGCGGGAATAATTCCAGGAAGGCCAGGTTCCGCATAAGGGTGCTCGGCCCCCACGCCAGCGGCCACCTCTCCGCGCACCATTTCCCACCAAAGTACGCCCCAAAGCCCACACTACCTGATGCATCAGTGAACAGTTCCAGTTCTGTCACTGACACCCCTTCCTGCCGAAAAAACACTGTCCCATTAAAGTCCCGCAAGAAGGTATCCCACACGGCAAGGTCGGCCTTCATGGCGGACGATACCCGGATGAAATGGCGTGGGGATCGCACCCCCGCCGTAGCTGCCGACAGGCTGCGGCTAAAAACCCTACCCATTGGGATTACCCGGCAAGCGAAATTCAGCATCCCGATCAACAACTGCAGCTGCCGCAGGGTGACTTTCCTCGCCTGCGCTACTGCTGCCACCGCCCCTTTTAGCCCTTGCAGCTTTGCCAGCGGCAGCCGACATTCGCCCCGTACCGAGTCAATCTCCAGCCCCAGGAAACTAAGGCACACTGCCGGGCCTTCCGTTTTATCCGCTGTCAGTGGGACCCCGAAGCACCCCGCGACCCACTCAATAGTCCGAAGCAAACGCTGGCAAGCAGGGGTGCTTGCCGGCCCCACGCAGAAGAAGTTGTCCAAATAGTGTACCACCGATCCATTCCCTGCCTCCGCCCGTACTACCCATTCGAGAAAAGTGCTGAACTTCTCAAAGTATGAGCACGAGATGGAACAGCCCATGGGGAGGCACAAGTCCACAAAGTATGCCCCTTCAAAGAAACACCCCAGCAGGTGGTGACATGCCGGGTGGACCGGAAGCAGCCGAAATGCTGCCTCAATGTCCACCTTTGCCATCAGCGCCCCGCGCCCGGCCTTCTTAACCAGCTCGACTGCCCGGTCGAATGATGCATATGAGACCGAGCACAACTCCTTGTCGATATCATCATTCACCGACTCTCCCTTGGGGTAGGAGAGGTGGTGAATGAGCCTGAACTTCCCCGGCTCTTTCTTGGGTACCACCCCGAGCGGGGAAATCCTAAGGCCTTCCAACGGCGGTGCTGAGAACGGGCCCGCCATCCTACCCAATAAGACTTCCTTTTCTAATTTCTCCCGCACCACCCCCGGGAACTCCACCACCGACTCAAGGTTGCGCCGTACCCCAGACCCCTCCCTGTCCTGGAACGGGATAAAAAACCCTTGCCCAAAGCCCACCCGTAGCAACTCGGCGTCCGCCCTGTTACCATAGCGGCTTAGCCATGGCTCCATCGCGTCGAGCCTCACCGGGGTTAAGACCCCTCCTCCCCCCCCAACCGGAGCAGCGACTCTGGTATTTCCTGACTTCCCCTTTTTGAAGCATCGGTTAAGCCCGTGTGTGCCCCCGCAGCCTGAGCACTCGTGTTTAAAACGACAGGTGTTCCCCCATTTGCACTGGCCTTCGTTGAAGAGCCAGCATAAGCCCTCTTGCAAGGCGGCCGACGAGGCGGACTGCCCCTTTGCGCCGGCCGTGTGCTGAAAGGGCTGCACCTTCTGCGCCATCATCAATTTCATCCAGAGGGGCAGGTCCATTTGGTCCCATCTCATACCCGGATTGGCCGCCAAGCGCTGCCGGAACTGCTCATCGTACCGCCACCACGCCAGCCCACCGTAGGTGCGGTATGCCTCCCAAATTCCGTCTAAATAGCAAAACAGGGAGGAGCACAATCCCGGCGATTTCTCACCTAGGACACTGGCCAGGACGCAGAACGCCCTCAGCCAGTTGCCGAAAGATTTCGGTATCTTACGATACCGCTTCTTTTTCTCCTCCTCCTCTTTTTTCTCGTCTTTCTTATCTTCCTCCTTGAGGTCTATAAACTCCTCTAAGGGGAGAAGGGAAAAGATTTCACAGAATTCACCCTTCCAGATCTTGTCTTTTACCTCCTGTTTGAGGTGCACCCCGAGCGGACCAGCAAACGACACGTATGCGTGCTGTCTGGCCGCATCAGAAACCCCCCCACCAGCCAACTCCGCCCGCTCACTCGCTGCGTCCGCCCTGCTGCCAGCCGCTCCCGAATCCCCGCTTGAACTCGGTTCTGCGGAGATAACACCCGTGGCCCCTGTCCCCTGTGCCCACACCTGACCTACACCGCCCCCGTGTCACCCCCCGCTCCCAGCGAGTGTTTGTAGTGTGTAAACCAGTGTACCGGATTGCAACGATGCACAGGACTCACCGGCCAAGCCCCCCGGTCTCCGAGCGCTGGGGGCTGCATTGTCCACTGTAATCCGTCCGGGAGGAGCGACCTCCGTTAACGCCCCGCCGACCGGGGAGCCAGCCCGGTGCCCAGCTAAGACAGAAGATGACCGGCTCCGAGACCTGTAACGAGGAGAAGATGTCCTGGGTAGGGTGTAACGATCCCCTGTCACCCTCCCACCCCAACCCGGGGAGCGCCTGCTCTTCACCAAAGCCTCCCGCCGTATGGTGCCCGTAGTCCGTGCTCCAGAGGCCTGGACGGCCCCGCCCCGCGGGATACGACTCCTTCCCCCCAGCGTTCGGTCCGCCCCCGCCGACCATACGGGGCCTCGACCGCGCTGCTACCGGGCCTGCTGCGGCCTCCTCCCGCCGCCATGCGCCCGCTGGCTCCAGCTTCGCCGGGCCCCACGCCCGGGCTCAGCCTCCGCGGCGGCCTCCTGGCCCGCACCGGACGATCCTGTTCGCCCTCCTGGGTCGCCATTCCCGCCAGGGCCGGTCCGAGTTGGGCCCGCAACCAATCCGCCCCGTGACCTCGCGCCGCTGACCGGATCCCCTCCAGCAGCCTCTCCACCTCGTCCATGGCCCTGCAGAAACGACAAGAAGGAAAAAAGGCCCTACCTAACCCAATCTGCACACACAGAAGTGCCCACAAACTTGGTCAGGTAGGAAATTAGAAGTGTAGCCCAGCCTACTTACCCATAACTCCATACTTCCTTCCCTCCTCCTATGCCCGCCTCCTAACCCCTGTCAAGGCCCTTTTTCGCTTAGCTGTGCTTTGGCTACATGGGGCTACATTTTAAACTGGCCTAATTAAAATTGTCATACCTATCATTTCTTGCAATAGCAAGTCTCATATCATTTGTGCCCTGGTTTGGGTATCCATCATGCCCTCTCTCTGACTTTTTAGCTTGTTATACCAACTTCATTGCTTTGTTGCCACATTCAATATACATTACCTGCTGTGACCACGTGCACACCCCAGCTGATCAAAAGACAGTACATTAACATACAAACAAATCTGATTGACACTATGCTTGTATTGTTTATCTTGATTGCTCTATCTCATACTTTAACTCTAGGTTAGGTTTAGGTTTAGGTTAGACGTTGGAAAACTATTCAAACTTGGGGTTTGCGCTTTAATAAAGCTTAGGGTTAAAGGAATACGCAAATCACTATAAACACGACAGTCATAGTGATTATGGTGCCTGGAGAGCCCTGGCACCCTCACCGGATAAGTATTCAAACCATTTGTGAGTGATTTGACAAATTATGTCTCTATAAAGTAAAGTGAGGTCTCTGGCTCTGCACTGCTATGGAGCTAATGGAAACTCCTAGCAGGAGCTTCTGACTTCGTAAAAGGTTGTGATAAGCACCTGAAAGACCCCAAGTAAGTTGTCAAACCATACAGAAGTTATTTGACTACTTAACCTGGGAGGGAGCCAGGGCACTCCTGGCACCATAACCACTACAACCTGCAAGGTCATCAGGACACTGCTGGCACCATAACCACTACAGCAGGTTGTAGATAAGGATACTGTATTAGTTAGAGACAGAAGCAACATGATTTTCCTCAACTTATCTCCGAGCATTTCATGTACAAGAAAGTATCTGAATTAAAGTCAGCAGCCACTAATACTACATGCTGTCTGAGAGTGTAACTCCCACCAATCTCGGAAAGTAAGAGATACATATGTCTCAGTGCTGGCCTTAGTTTAAAGGAAACCTAGTTCTACCCCTCACACTAGCCCTGACCCTGACTTAAAAAATAATTAAAAAAATAACCATACAGTATGAAATATATAGAGATAGAGCTGACATATGTATCATTGGAAAATAATGCCATCTCAGGGTTCTGTAGACATATACCACATAGCCATCAGTCTTGTGCTTTATTTTGATTGATGAGGATCATGAACCTCTCAATAGTATAATTTTCTACATAATATAAACTTCACAGTTATTTATATTTAAAGGGCTAGTCCAACCACCATGACCACTTTAGTGACAGGTATTGTTAATTGTATGCTGTTTCACCCCCAGCAAACGTGACTTAGGCAACTCAGAACTCTGTTCCGGGCTGCCTAATGTCAATTCTCTTTATGAGAAGCCAGTGATTGGACCACGCAAGGCCCCTGTGACATTAGACGGGGCATGGAAGATGAGCACCGGGAGCTTTGCTTGGTATTGGATTGCAGGTGAGTAAAAAAACATATTTTTACAAGCCTTATAGGGTTACCTAAGAGCAATGCTTAATAGGACATAGTAATAGGAGTAACCCTTTACAGGGGTTCTCAACCCAGTCCTCAAGGACTCCAGAACTGCCCAGGATTTAGGGATTACCATGCCGTGTCTAATGTGTTTTTAGGGGGGAGGGGGAACAAACACTTTAGATACAACAGGGTAATCCCTAAATCCTGGACTGGTAGGGAGTCCTTGAGGACTGGGTTGAGAACTCCTGCTTTAATAGAAATAGTTGGAGTAACCCTTTAATAGAAAACTAATCACAAATAACAACAGCAAATATCCTAGACCTTCACGGGATATCATATAGGATAAAGGCATAAATATTGTGACCTAGTAAAACAGGGATTATTTAGGTTTGACTTGATTGTCCATAATCACACTGCTTTAGCAACATGTACCGCCACTTACCTATGTCCATATTACTGTTTTGCTGCAGGGTACTTTCCTATACTTTAATGATTTAAGAGAACATCAGGAAGTTGTAATGTATCATTTATGAGGCAGCATATCCACAGACCTTGGATAAATTATTGAACATCTACTTTCAGGTGACAAGCTCTTATTTTGGTCTGAAAAAAAATATTTCTAATAGCAACCTTAGCTAACATTAAGTGATATATGCATCTTTTAACAATTGGGACCACTGGTAAAAGTTGCTGCCATTGAGTAGACTTTACTCCAAAACTCGGAATAGTACTTCTATGTGTTAATATTGTCTGCAGCCAAATGCCTTTTTTTAATGAAACAGCACACTTAAAAAATCTCAGATATGTATACGTACAGGTTATAAGATTTCTCTTTTGTGTATTTTACTGGTGCAAGAAGTCTGTGTTTTACGGAAATTAAGCTGGTTAACATAACAGCAAAAATGTCCAATTTTCAATAAAACATATTTAAACTATCTCAAAAAAATACTTAGTGCCCCACCTCCCAAACACTAAAGTGCAAGTGCAGCTCCAAACACATATTTAAATTGATTCAATGGCTTACACCTAAGTGTAACGATGGGGAAGCTGGTACTCATAAATATGAAAAGGAAGAGAAAAACATACAATAGTGCAATAACGTTATAATGCACATAAAAACCAAATTGCGTGGATATGATATATGCTCACAATTTAAAGAGCCTTTTGCACGATATGGCTCTTTTTGGCAGCAGCAGTACCTCTTCTGATGACAGAACAATTTCTTCCTACAAAGTCCATAAAGTTAAAAAGAAATGGAGCGCAATCTTGTGCAATAATGCTTAGTTTAAACCATATATTAAAATATCTTTGTTTGTTAAGATGCTCACCTCTACCTGGAGCCCATATACGACTGTCCCTAAGTTTGTAGACAACTTGCCAAATCTGGTGTGGCAGCGGTTCCAATTCAAGGAAGAGATTACTAGGCCAAGATTCACCTATAAATGCATACATTTTTATTTAAATTTTAAAAACAAATAAGGATAAAATTAAAATAAAATTAAAAACATACAAAGTAAATAAGATAGTGCAGTCCTTAGGCCTCGATGAAATATAATTTACTAGGGAGAGGGAACGTGGAATTATCACTTCTCTGGAACTTTTTCTGTTGGTGGAAGCCTGTGGAAGGTTAGTCTTGTATGAAAACACTATATTCACATATATTGTTCATAAATATCATCTCTATAGTTGAATGTCTTGGCTGCATTCACTTGTTTAACTCATCCTCTTTGTATGACCTGTTTCAAATCACTATGATTTTTCCTTTGGTTTTTTCTCCTTGATTTCTGTCATGATCAGGCTACATCTTTAAACCCAAAGTAGTGTGTGTGTGTGAGGTATGCAATGTGTGTGTGAGGTATGCAATGTGTGTGTGAGGGTTGCAATCTATGTGTATGTTAGAGGAGCAATGTGTGTGTGTGTGTGAGGAGTAAAATGTGTGTGAGGGGTGCAGTGTGTGTGGAGGGGTAGCAGTGTGTGTGAGGGGTGTTGTGTGTGTGAGGGGTGCTGTGTGTGGAGGGGGTGCTGTGTGTGAAGGGGGTGCAGTGTATGTCTGTGTAAAGGGTGCAATGTGTATAGGGGGAGGGTGCAGTGTGTGTGTGTATGAGGGTGCAGTGTGTGTGAGCGATGCTGTGTATGTGTAAAGGGTGCTGTGTATGTGTGAGGGGTTCAGTGTGTGTGTGTGAGGGTGTGGTTTGTGTGAGGGCTGCTGTGCGTGTGTGTGTGAAGGGTGCAGTGTGTGTGTGGGAGGAGGGTGCATTGTGTGAGTAAGGGTGCAGTGTGTGTGAGGGTTGCTGTATATGTGCGAAAGGGTGCTGTGTATGTCTGAGGAGTCCAGTGTGTGTGTTTGGGGTGCAGTGTGTGTGTATGGTCCATTGTGTGTGTCAGGTACAGTGTTTATGTTTGGGGTACAGTGTGTGCATGTGTGTTGGATCCAGTGTGTGTGTGAGGGGTGCTGTGTGTATGGGGGGTACATTGTGTGTGTGTGTGTGGAACAGTGTGTCTGTGTGTGGTGCAGTGGGTGTGTGAGGAGTGCTGTGTGTGCGTGGGGGGGTGCAATGTGTGTGGGGGGGTGCAGTGTGTGTGAAGGGTGCAGTGTGTGACTATGACTTGAGGATATATATGATTTACATTATTTTTTATCTAAAATTTAATACAATTAATATTTTGTTATTTAATTTTTTTTATTAAAAAAAATAATCTTTGTATCCCTCCTTCCTTCTTACCTATTGACATTACAAGGCAATCCCTGGTGGTCCTAGTGGAGATGCCCTGGTGGTCCGGTGGGGAGCGGACTCTAGCCTGCAGCTCCTGAGACTAGAGTTCACTCTCGCGAAAACGGAGCATTGTCATGGTAACTGCGGCAATGCTCTGCTCTTGTGATAAGAGAACCCCAGAGGAGCTGGATGTAAGAGCTCCTGGGTCCTCTCTCCCTCCCCTGCCGGCTTTCAGCAAAGTGCCTGTGGGCCTAAATCCACTACTGATTGCTACACACAAAGTAAATTGAACTTGAATGTTTTGAGTATAAATAATGATAAATAATAATATAAGATATTTTAGTATCATTAACCTCTTCACTGACAAGCTCTTTTTGATTTAAAAATATTAGTATATCATTTATTTGAAGCAAGGAATGAATAGCTAGTATATAAACATATCATAACACAGCAATTTTGGGTAGATTGCTAAGCAGACAAACATAAAATATTAAATTATGTACATTTACACAATTTTTATTTTTCACTTGTTTCATCCTTTATAAAATATATTTGGGTAATGAAAAACTTCAGACAGTATACAGTGTTCACATAAGGTCTAAAATGTTAGTATAAAAGCAAAAGTGCAATGTTACTGTAGGTGTGACAAAAATACATAAATAATTGCAGTCAAATATGTTGCTTATAGGTATTTGTAAGGGCCCTGAAAACATTACTAGACATTACTACTAAAATGTAGAAAGTCTGCGTTTCAGTATACTTACAGTAAATACAATTACATAATATATTTCTAAAAATGTATTTAACATGGCTATATATCTTTACTATTCACTGGACTATTAATGTATTGCTGACATTGAAATGATACCGTCCACTCACTCCTCCCTGACTGTAGTAATGATATGACCCATTGCAACTTCCTGTACTGTTTGAAAGCAGGGGGTGAGGTGAGCTTACATTTCAAGCAACTTTATCAGTGACTAGTGGCTTCTGGCAGAAAACAGTTTTTCTCTACAGGCTGGCAATCATAACTAGTGTATAAGTGAGTGTGAGTGAGGCTCTATGGACTAGATTTACATGTATACTCAATTTGTGCGTTGAAGTGGTTAAAGCGTTATTTCACTACACAGTGAATTATGAAAAAGTTATAAAACTTCTCCAGGTAAGCCATGTTTCCAACTTATTATTATTGCAACAAAAATCTAAAAAGGTGTCTATTTCTATCCATTGCTTGGTAATGAACGATTTCTGATTATTTGTCAAAATAATTTTAATTTTTTTTTTTATGTATGTTTGCTTTATTTTATCTTAGACAAACTATTTTAGCAATTTGTAATAAAGCATGAAAAAGATTAAAGACAGACTCAAAATGACACCTGCATAGTGTTATTCTAAGTTTAATACAAATGTAAGAACGAGTAGCTGGGGTTTGCTTTGTTTGTCTTCAATCTATTGTTAGGTTGAATAAAAAGTCAGTAATTATTTCCAGGTGCCTTCGTCAGCTCATTCCTTTCAGTTCATTTGTGTATTCCTCATGCCTTACCTTCCACCAAAAAGAATAATAACTGAATCAAAGTAAGTCCAATATAATGTGAAGGATTATAATTATACAAATGACTTGACAAGTACCTAAAATGGCTGCTACCACTAGTGCACAGATATAGGACATTCTAGCATACACAACAATAGTGTAACAATAATAGGGATGGTTGAGACGCCATTACATTTTTCTTTATTAAACTTATTAATGTTTATTTATTCATTAAACTCAAATGGCAAAACTGAGGCTTAAATAGATCATTTGCAAAAAAATTCAAACTAATTTTAGCAATTATAGCCTCATTTTTTGCGAATCAGAATGAATTTTCTAATATCCAATGTTTATTGAATAAGCCTGACTGAGCTTAAAAAATAAACTATTTGGGGTAGTGTCAAGTCCTGTATAAAATTAAAGTCTGCAGATTGTTTTTATTTGCCAGCATATATTATCTGTCCAATGTACATTACGTAAATTAAAATACATAATGTTATTGAAAAAAAAAAATCAGTTCATCCTGCCTTTCTAATTTGAATTTAAGTAAAGATCAGGACCCTGCTTAACACAGACTTATGAGAAACCAAAAAAAAGCTTAAAGAGGATAGGTCACATTAATATTATTTTGTAAAATCATTTAAAGGGACACTATAGTCACCTGAACAACTTTAGCTTAATGAAGCAGTTTTGGTGTATAGAACATGCCCCTGCAGCCTCACTGCTCAATCCTCTGCCATTTAGGAGTTAAATCCCTTTGTTCACACCTCCCTGCATGTGACTTGCACAGCCTTCCATAAACACTTCCTGTAAAGAGAGCCCTATTTAGGCTTTCTTTATTGCAAGTTCTGTTTAATTAAGATTTTCTTATCCCCTGCTATGTTAATAGCTTGCTAGACCCTGCAAGAGCCTCCTGTATGTGATTAAAGTTCAATTTAGAGATTGAGATACAATTATTTAAGGTAAATTACATCTGTTTGAAAGTGAAACCAGTTTTTTTTTCATGCAGGCTCTGTCAATCATAGCCAGGGGAGGTGTGGCTAACCTGCATAAACAGAAACAAAGTGATTTAACTCCTAAATGACAGTGAATTGGGCAGTGAAATTGCAGGAGAATGATCTATACACTAAAACGGCTTTATTTAGTTACAGTAATTTAGGTGACTATAGTGTTCCTTTAAGCTATATTAAACTAAATAAATTAGCACCTTTAAAATCAACCAACTTTCTATGCTAACTATAAGTAATGAGAATGTTATAAAATGCCTAATGATTGGATTACCATAATGCTGAGCCTATACACCAGATTTATGAAGATAGGTTAGAACAGTTTGATAGAATAGATGTCTGTCTGGGTTTTGACATAACTAATAATGTTGACCTATTTTCAAACATTTAAGTTAGGGAATTATCACATTTTGGATTTATTTGAGATTGACTTAAAACAACTAATTCTACAAAAGTGCATTTCTCAAGGCATACCATTGGGAAACAAGTATAAAAGAAGCAAATTAAAACAAATGAAACCAATGTGGCAGAATAAAAGGGCCAATAAAATAATAAATTATAATAAAAGGGCATTTAAAACATTTAAATCAGAGGGGTCAATAGTATCCTTTAACAAATATAAGCATGCCAACAGGGCTTGCAAAAGAGGGATTAAATGGAAATAATAAGCTCATAGCCAAATAGAGCAAGACCAACTCTAAAAATGTTTTTTATGTATATTAATGTCAAAAAAGGTTTAGAGTGAAAGTGTTGGTCCATTGGAATCTGTGATGGGTGTGGTTATAAAAGACGATCAGGACAAGGCAGACATTCTAAATGTTTTTTTCTTCAGTATATTAGGAAGAAGAATCTATGGCTGTAGATTTTAAAATCCCTGTTATGAAAGCCTTATGTCAAACAGGCTTATTAGCTAACACAGGAAAAAATGCTACAGTAACTAAATAAAGTTAATGTAAAGAAATCCCTGGAGCCATATGGTATTCACCCACAAGTGCTTATAACACCGTTTTTAATCTTTCAGGGTTCTTTTCTTTCAGTAATTGTACCAGAGAATTAAAGAAAAGATTTAGTGCCTATAATTAAAAGAGCTTAACATCTGTGGTTGGAAAATTACTAGAAGGGTTCTTAAGGGATAGAATTCAAGAATTAATTTTGAACAATAATATCATTAATGAAATCAACATGGTTTTATAAAATGCCAAACTAACCTAAATGAACACCATAGGGTCAGGAACATGAACATGTATTCCTCCAAAAGCCTGAAGGGACTGACTATACTCACCAGAACAAATACAAAAAGCTATAGTTGTTCTAGTGACTATAGTGTCACTCTAGTTTGTCTACTTTTTTTGGTGGAAGAACAGTATGAGAATAGAATATGTTTAGTGCTCAAGGATTAGAAGAATGAATTAGAACTCTGTACCACTGCACAGCTCTTGATAACACCGCTTCCTCCTTCTGTGTGGAATCTTTATGATGAAAAGAAAAAAAATAAGACATTTTACCAAGGTGCCCCAATCCGGAGTTCTATTAGGCCAGTGAATCTTCTTTCATCTTATATGCCACCATGTCCTGCACCCAGCAGTAGTTTGAATTCTGAATTCTGTCCTGTTTCTAGAGAAAGCATAGTTTGTGAAAATATGTATATTCATATATTAATATCTTTAACACTGCTGAATATTTTAACATTTGCTTACATAACATATGTACAGTTGTCTTAGTTTACAGGTCACATTTACCTAAATTAATTTTTATTTTAAAAGCACATTTTAGCTCTTGCGCAACAAATTGTGAGCATAATGAAGACATTTGGATGACCTGACCTTGGTGTGAACTTCTTTTCTGAATCAACTGCATCATACTGGAACCCTGATTCACTAAAATATCTTTCTTCAGAAATACAAGTCCTAGAAGAATTTGCACGACAAAGCAACTAGTTTCTTGGTTTTAAAGAATGACAGTTCCAGTCTGACATCATCTCTCTCTGTATATGTTTTTTAGTCCCGTAGCCTTCATTTCCAAGAGCTATGAATATTTGATGTGTGCTCCAGAGCTTTACTGAGGTAACATACAGTACTAAGCAGTGAGAGAGTATATCACAGAGCTCCACAATAATAATACTGACATTCAGTATGGTATCATTGCACCACAGTAAATATTTTGTAAAATAATTTTGTGTAAATCGAAATGCATGATTTTATTAAAAATTACTTACTCATTAAGATAATTCTGTGCAGCTCACAAAGCTCCTTAAAACTCTTAGTTCCACTCTAGGATACAACGCCATCAACATCTCATAAAACAACAGTGCCATTCTTTGTTCATTTGTGTTATTAAGGATCTACGAGAACCCCATTTCTTTTTATCTTTTATTCTTTTAATCAAAGCTAGCGTTCTATAGATGAGCGGTACAATTATAGTGCACTGTCCATTAGTAGTGACATGTAAAAGACTTATAAACTAAAAATTGTATTACTTACACAAGAACACCTTATACCTCAGCTCATGCTCAAATCTCATTCTTCCTCATCCTTTCCCCCCGTAACCAGTGCCTGACCAAACAACTTCGCGGCCACCGACTACAGGCTCCCCGACGAACATCATCAGCAAAGTATCTAACAAAGTAAGAATTAGGACTGGCCTGGCCAACGTTACTCATCCCCTACCACTCTACCCAGGTTTACAGATGACTATTGCATAGATGTGTCCTAAATATAAACCAAAATGAGACTTACGAATCACACCACTAAAGAGAAAATACATGTGAGCTAAGACACTTACGCGCTAAATGCGCATCTACATGATCTGATAGGCATGCACCCAACACTACCAGATCTTTATTAAGACAGCCCTGTGCTCCCATCTTTAATCACAAACTCTACCATTGTAGCATATTCCTCCCCTATCATGGCCCTTCCCTTCTCCCTCTACAACACCCCAGGACAATGAACTAAGCACAACCAGTACAAAAACTACTCATACTGCTACTTCATTGAAACCGTATCCTAGTAACGACAGTTTAAAAGTGGCAACGCGGGCAGACATAGGACACCAAAGCAAACACAGGTACATCAGGCCCATTAAGGCAACACTCAGACAGAGGTCGGTTTACAGAACCCCATAACATTCTAAGAACTGGTGGTCATTTCGATTCGATACACCACACTGGTAATTAGAATGTATAAGGCATATGTAATGTTACACTTCTTGACTTCAGCTTACTGAGCAGTAATCATTCAAGCACCTGACATCACATCCACCTATTGATACATGGAATTATGAACACACTAGAGTATAGTGAAATGGGATAAATATCTAAGGCATGTACTATTGTGATTACTATTTTACTGCCTCTACTTGTCATCACCATGCTCCTCATTATTTAACTTATATTTGTATTTCCTGTGCACAGATTTATCGAATGTATTGCCTATGCTGTTTCGTATGTATCATTAATCATTGTGCAAAGCTTGTCTTCGCCCTCCGCCTTTTCTTTGCTGTATCCCTGACTATCATTATAGTCATGAACAATTTCAATAAAAATCAGACATTGAAAAAAGACAGCCCTGTACTCACTATGATTATCACACTCTGGTGGTCCACGCTGTATACCTACTCTGAGTCTCTCTCTAGACCACAAATGGTTACCTTCAAACGCAATATGTATGCAGTACATCTTTTTTAAAAATAAAAAAAAATTCTGTACCTTGCAATACTTGAAAAAAACAAAACAATAAGAACAGAATGTTTTTTTTTTTTTTTTAATAATTGCATTCTTGCTGTTCCCCATCATGTTTAAGTTTAACTAAATTGTCATGAATAAGACGTGCAAAGAAATCACACCTTGGACCAAAATATTGACCATAAAAACATTAAACAGATATAAAATAATGATAATTAAATGATAAATAAAATTAACTCAACAGTACGTATACACATACTGTATTTAAATATACATCAATTTTAAATGACAGTTCATAGCTTGTGCTCTTAAGAAGACATCACTTATATCGAAATGCGTTGGTGGAAGAGGAGAAGCCCTGTATTCTCGATAAAGGCTGAGAAATCCTGAGACTTTTTAAAGTTTCCACTGTCCAAGTATTGCTTGGCACGGCTGAGTTTATTTTATTGTGGTATAATAATAATTGGTGAAACATATATAACTAATTCTTAAAAACAAACAAAAAAAAACTACATTTAACACTGGCAGAGTTATTCAATACAGTTGCCAGTATTTCAGAGTGAATTTCACCTTTAAGGAAAGAAATGTTTCCAGTTTAACTATTTAAGCCTGAAATTAAGGTGAATTTCACTTTGAATTAACTTCCTGACAATTTAGATTTTATTGAATAACCGGACGTGTGATTGAAGGCATCTCACGACCATTCTGACTTGCAAGTGGAACTCCTCTTGTTCTATGAAGGCTCTATACAATGTAAATTGAACGTTTGATTATGGGTTTTTTTCCCACCTCAATGATATAACATTGTAATCACTACAAGCGCCAATATCTTCCTTTGTATGTATTTCAACAGTTAATGAGGTTGCAGCCAAACCAACTACAAAAATGTCAGAAAATAGATTTTCTAGTTTGCCCTTTAAAAATTGCTAATCATGGACTAAAAGCCAACATGACCACTCTGCACATTTAGTATTGTACTGGTGTATATTGCATTTGACTTTTTAGAGACTCTTGTTACAAAGGAACGAGGTCTCTAATAGAGAGAAAAATGCAGAAATATATTCATTTGATGTATATAAGTGACTGAGGCTTTCTATTTAAACCTAGTAAATGTAAGTATTTTAAGTATTTTCGTCAGTGTTAAATGTTTCCATGGTAACTAAATGTTCTGGAAGATTTTATGATCTTTACCTAATCTGTTTATGTTTCAACTCATTCTATCTAAAGGCTGTATGTTAATCTGTGCTGATTCCTCTTTTGTTCTTTTCAAATATTGCCAATGGAACGATTTTATACAATCTGGTATATTCATTGGACTGGATAGAAAATTAAATTTTTTGTCAATTCCAGTGACAGTTCTACACAAATATCTATATTCACTAAACAGTAATTTATAGTGATTAAAACACCAAATTGCAAAAGGCAGGCAAAAATAGACAAGCCAGCCAAAAGCACCACAATTCTATGTTTAATGATTAAATCTCAGAATAACTTTTTTCTGGTCTTTTATCTATTGGAAAATAGATAAAAATGAAATTTTTTTGACAGGGATATCACAGTGGAATATCAAGAAAATGATTGAGAAAAATAGTTTCTGCATTATGCCGATATTCAATATTCCAATTCAAATTGCACAACCAGAATTACAGCAATTCAATCAAAGTGAGAATAAAGGTTCCCATAAACATTAAAAGAACACTATAGTGCAGGAATACAAACATGTATTCATGACACTATAGTGCTGGGGTGGCTGTTAAGGTTACCAGCCCCCTTCGATCGCCCTGAAAAGGTGATTGTACACATCTTTTACCCAAGCCACGTCGTTCTCGACCCACCTCCTTGGCTGGGATCATCAATCTTGATGATCTCAGCTAATCTAATGCTTTCCCATAGAAAAGCATTGGGAGGCTATTGCGCATGCACAGCAAAACGCTGCACTGCACCAATCATCATCTCCTTATATACCTGCAAGGAATCAATGCATCTGTAAAGGCTACCACAGTGGAGAGGGGGTATCAGCCGTTGGAGACGTCCTTCTTCCCGGCAAGATGCTGTGTAGTAATGGAGTAGCCTTCTTTCTATCAGCTGGATCCAAGAAGAGAGGGAGAGGTAGAGCTCTTCAAAGAGCTAGTGATTAGCTGAGCAGGTTCCCTTTCAATAACGAGACAAAGCTACGTTTTGAAGGGTAAAGTAGAACTGAGGTTTTAATGACAGGTACTCTCCTTTTATGCAGTGCTCCCATGCAAGGGAGACACCCACAGACAATTAGACATTGACCAATGGTTACAACCCACAGATTCCCTCCCCTCTGCTTGGGAGATAATTGAGTTTCTTACTGTATCTACTCAATTATCTCCAAGCTAAAACTTATACTTTTTATGCATTTTTAAAACTTTCTGATTTTTCATCATACAGGAATTAGGAACAACACAACTTGGGGACAAACATATTCAAAATTCGTGCAAATCCGTTCAGGGGTTCCAGAAATAGTAAAAAGTTTCTTTGGACCGACCGCACGTCTGTTTGCATGCCCAAACAGTTCCACAGATCCAGGCTGTGAGCTCGGTCTATTTCTGCCCTGAAAAATAACAAAGTCCCATTCGAAGGTGGCGTTCGAATAGTCGAACACACTTCGACTTGTGTCGAAGTGAAAACGGGGTTAAGTTTCAGCGGTGTTCGTTAGTTAAGCGGAGGTCTATTTTACACTAAAAAGATGACAAAGTCCCATTCGAACGTGCGTTCAAATCTTCGAACGGGACTTAGTCACCAGCGGCAGTGTCGAAGTGTAGGGGAAGGTACAGGTCAGCGGTGTTCGTTCAAATGTGTAGCTGATTTCTGTTCCAGGGATTTGATGGCACACACCGCTGACCGCTTTCGACTGAATTAAAATGGCCGCCACCATGTGTTTGATTGTCTAATGGAGGCCACTTCGACTACTTTGGCACTTCGGCTGTATCTGAAGTGCCATATCAAACGTACGAATCCTTTGCACAAAACAGTTAAAGGGCCAGAAATAGTCTTTGTTCTTAGGTACAGGGCAATGTGGATGATGGCAGGAAAACAAAAGGTAGAGGTTCCCAGGCAACATGGTAGGAGGTTGTTACATCATCTCTATGTGATATACAATGCCTACATGCAGGGCCGTGGAGTCACTGAACGACGGCAGACATTTTAAATCAGTTTGACAGCTTACTATAGTTGGTGCCAGGGCACCATAACTATTATATCAAGCTGTTGTAGTTATGGTACTTAGAGTGTTCCTTTAAGCTTTAGTTATCATGATGTGTAAAAACATTTTTTTTTTTAAATGTCACAGTTCCCCTTTAATATGCTATAAACATGCTTGAATGAGCTATGTACATGCTGCTAAATGCATATTTCCAAACCTCTTTTCTAAAATTGCAACAATTTTGTTTCATTCTGTGTTTATTTTTATACACAGAAGAGATAGTGCCAGATACACTTAGGCAGAGAATGCGTGTGATTTAAAATGATTAAAAACATGACACACTGTAACTCATCTTTATGCATTTCTTAAAAGCTTAAATAATGTTAAGACTGATAATACACTTCCTGTTTCACAATAGAGATATAGGGATAATAGCGTCCAAGGCTCTACATGCATCCGGTGGCGATGCTAGGTCCCAGAAACAAATGGGGCTTCAGCCCAAAAGAAAGCTTGATGATCCCTACGCTAACAGAGAGGTGGGGATATGTCATGCTACAACCCACCTTTATACGCCATGCTCTCTCCTCTCTACCCATGAACAGCCCTCTCAATTATCTCAATAAAAGCATAGTCAGGAACAAGCACATTCTGCACCGCCAGGTATTCAATGCAATCCCACCACTAAATATCAAATAGAGAGCTGTGCAGCAAAGCTTGGCACTCTAGCAGCCCTTCCTGATCGTTACCTGGGGCGTACTGCCCATTACTCCTATGTTGCGTGGCAAGAGCACTGATCGTTGTTTTTATAATAGGCAGCTGCTTTCATAATGTGCCTGATGGAAAATAAAAATAAACACTAAGCCAACTCCATCAAACTGTAGACAGCTGGGGCTTGACCCCAAGAGCCCCCACACTAGCAATGCCTACGCATGCATCCTCATTACTGGTAATCATGATGCAGAAGAGGTCTGCGCATGGACGGGTTTGCTACTGTTTCTTTACAGGACTACATGTGTGATCTGCAAAAGTCTTCCATCAATGGTCCCACCACTGTGAGGAGGAGCAGTGACAGGTGAGGAAGTAAATAAATTTGTTTGTGGTTGAGAATTAAGGCATGTATCCAGTACGTAAAGACTGGACTTCCAACCCAGTCTGGCTAACGTCACTTATACCTACACTAGCTACAGTATCTATGAAGCCGCCAATACAATGTACATGCACTTACAAAAAATACAAAAACACTTTGTGCATCACCCCCCCCCCCCCCTAAATGAAACAAATAAAGACTCAAAGCTATTTTGGTCCTAGAAATTGAAGAAAAGTAAATTATTTTGTGCAATGCTATTTTGTCTCTGCAAATTGCCAAAGTGCTAATTATTTCAAACTTCTCTATAGTAATTAGTAAAATGTGGAAATAAATATGGAAAATGTCTTGTCCCTTCAATCGATTGATTTAAGGCAAAAGTCTACATGTCCAATAGGAAAACTGGAATTAATTAAAAATATATAATTAACGTTTCATTGTTTGTAGAAAAAAGAAAAGAAATTTGGTTTATTTTGTATTGTGGAATAATAAATAGTACACAAAAAAAATCTGATCTGGAAGAAATAGCAATTTTCATACCAATAGTGGGTGACAAAATCATACAATTTAGATGCTCGTTGTTTGCAATTTATTTTCAAGTGATTGCA